CTGCCTATACGCCTGCATGCAGACTATTGTTTATATGGTGTGTGTGTGTGTTTGAGGCTGGAGATCAGCTGAGCAGTGTGTTAGTGGGTCTGCAGGCTGAGAAGGATGTTCTGCTGCGCTCAGTGAAGGATCAGGAGTCTGACATCATGAGTCTCCGTCAGACACTCCAGAACCAGCAGAGCAGTCTCCAGCAGGAGAGAGAGAAACACCAGAGGGAGAGCGCAGAGCTGCACACACACCTGCAGAGCAAGGTCAGAGCGGGGTCACGGGGTCACACACACACACACTGAAGCCTCGTTTACATTAATGTGTTTTAGTTTAAAAACTTATAAGTTTTGCTACGGTTACGCCATCCGTCCACACGGTTTTCGAGCGCCGTTCGAGCATCATACTGAAGCGTCTGCTCTGTCTCAGTGTGGACGGAGGAAAACTCAGACATCTGAAAACGGAGGCGGAGCTGCTGAGATTCGCTACCTGATTGGGGTTTTGTGTCATTGCGTATTCTTCCCTTATTCGTCAAGCTCCTATCACATGACTATAACACATGGCTTTAACGCTACCGGATGACAGTACTGTAAACAACAACATGCACACAGAAAGGGGAGCGCTGTTTGCACTATTGTCTGTTTTAGGCGGCATTGTGCAGTTATTCATTTGTTAGGTTTAGTAACTCGACCTCGTCGTCTGTCCACAACAACACCTCTCTTGCTTTCTTTGCCATCGCATTCATTGTTCAACCAGCGCTTGTTGACTAACAATAACCAAATGCCGAGCGAGACACATGCTTCCTGTTTATACTAGAGCGCGCATGCCCAGAGTGTGCGAATGGTCACATGATATACGTTTTTGGTGGCGTAGTGTGGACGGAGATATGTTCAGAGACGCTAGGTGAAACGCTGGTGTGGACGCGGATTGTTTTTGATCTAAAACGCTATTTTATAACTCAAACGCACTAGTGTAAACGGGGACAAATAGAGCTGCACACACACCTGCCAGTGACACATCTACTGCTCTGTGTGTTTCAGCTCAGAGTATGGTGTTAATTAGTGTGTGTGTGTGTGTGTGTGTGTTCAGGCGTGTCGAGAGCAGGAGCTGCTGCTGGAGATTGAGCGACTGAAGCGAGAGCTGGAGGAGACACGAGCGGAGCTGATGAGGGCCCAGAGTGCTCTAAACAACAAAGCATCTGTGAGAACACACACACTTATATGCGCACACACACTTATACACTCATAAACACACATGAACACACTTATGCACACACACACACACACACACTCACACTCACACAAATTATGCATTATGTGTTTTCCCAATTGCATTTCATAACATCTGCCTATACGCCTACATGCAGACTATTGTTTATATGGTGTGTGTGTGTGTGTGTGTGTGTTTGAGGCTGGAGATCAGCTGAGCAGTGTGTTAGTGGGTCTGCAGGCTGAGAAGGATGTTCTGCTGCGCTCAGTGAAGGATCAGGAGTCTGAGATCATGAGTCTCCGTCAGACACTCCAGAACCAGCAGAGCGGTCTCCAGCAGGAGAGAGAGAAACACCAGAGGGAGAGCGCAGAGCTGCACACACACCTGCAGAGCAAGGTCAGAGCGGGGTCACGGGGTCACACACACACATACTGACTGATTGAGCTGCGCACACACCTGCAGAACAAGGTCAGAGCGGGGTCACGGGGTCACACACACACACACTGACTGATAGAGCTGCACACACACCTGCAGAGCAAGGTCAGCGCAAGGTCACACACACACACTAAAGCCTGGTTTATACTTCTGCATCAAGTGACCGGCGTAACTCACGGCGCAGGCAACACCTGTAGCTGTGCATTTATACTTCTGCTGCTGTCTCTGTGGGTCTGCATTAACACTTCCGAAACGCTGGGCAGTGAGGTGTAAATGTTCCTCTGTGTCGAGTTTCTTCGCTTCTGTTTTGTTTTTCCTGAACACTTCCGGGATGTACAAGTGACTCAAACTCGCTCATTTTGAGGCAGGAACCGGCGGACGTGCAACAACTTTAACTATGAGGTAAACACAAAACAAAACTCTCCATCCGGAGCTCCTTCACGAGACTCCACACTTGTAAACAATCGCTCCATCAGGCTCGCGCAGCTCTCGGCCCCGTCCAGGCGTAGGGCTAAGCATACGTGTGCGCTTGACGCAGAAGTATAAACCTTTCACCTGATCTGTTGACAAATGAGTTGTGGATCCATTCCTTGGCCGTTCGTGGGTCGTTCGCTGGGCCTTTTCCCTTTAGCAAAGAAACTTTTTAAAGACGCCTGTTTTCTCATTTTGCTTCTTGTGGGTTGAATTTTGGTGCTGAAGTGACCGAGATGTAAGTGAGAGAATACGGTCACTTTCAACATAAAAGATTGTTCAGATTTTTCTGCATCCCAGTACCAATTGATCCACGGCCCAGTGGTTGAGGACCATTGAGCTCGGGGATAAAATGAACTATGGCAATATGAACATTCTTCTAATTGTCCACTGCTAAGAATTGTTTAAATATGGCGCAACCCTCCACAAAGCTCGCTGAGGCCCCTTGTCCCCTGTTGGGAACCGCTGTCATACACAACGGCACTCACAGATTCTTCTCTTCTTCTTGGCTTTGTGGCTGTTCATCAAGACATCACATGGTTTGTTTGAGCTCGGGTCGACCCCGGCTTGTTATTATGTGTATATATTATTACAGTGTAATTTCTCGGCTGTGTATTTAAAAATGCCGCTTCCTTTGTTTTCATTCTCCTGGCTTGTGCGCGAGCTAGTGATGTATCTCTGTAAACCAATAGCATTCAGCTGCGCATCTAGCCCCGCCTTTTGGTACCCTTTTGTTTGGGCTGGTACTCTTTAAAAAGGGTACTCAAAAAGTGGTACGAGACGGTTCGCATTTAGGTGCATTTTGAAAGTGGAAACGGCCATGAAAGTGTACTGAACCATACTGTACTGTACCACTCAGTGGAAACGGGCCATTATAAGCTGCCAATATACTTCCTTACTGTCTAGCATGTGGAAAACAGTGGTGTGTAGTGTGTCTGAATTCATAGCACTGCAGAAACAGTATGTGAGAAGTGCTCTGATCAACTACTGCTTCTAGTGTGATTCTCTAGTGCGCATCCAGTGGATGCTCCGCTATCCCATAATGCACCACGAGTTAGTTAAAATTTTAAGAAGCAATGCAACTGACGCGGGGAGGTCACATGATCATGACAATGGTGGATGTAGAGCATCTGAATCACATCTGTACTAAACAGAACCCACTTTACTAACAGTCGTGCAGTGAATTATTTGATTTATACCTTTAATTATGTTTAATTAACTATTTTAACAATGTGATTTCGATTTAGAGACTTTAAATAAGTGAAACTGGGTCAAAACAGTTTCTATCTGATATCACTGCCAGATTCTGGACCGATGCTGAGGATTAACTGAACTTCTATCAAGGATTAGCCATCTAGTCTATGTGTTTTACCTGTGTGTGTGTGTGTGTGTGTGTGTGTCAGGTGAGTCAGGACTCAGGTGTGTGGCAGCAGAAGCTCCAGGATGAGCAGTTCAGTCTCCTGCAGTGTGCGGTGGTGGAGGCCGAGGGCATCGTTCTGGACGCAGTGGCCAAAGTGGACGATCCTCTGCACGTGCGCTGCATCAGCACTCCAGGTCTGACCTTCCTCCTCCTCTTCATCCTCCTCCTCTTCCTCTTCCTCCTCATCAGCTCTCCTCATCTCTCATGTTCACAGATTACCTGATCAATCGTGCCGAGCTCACGCTGGCCTCTGTTGATAAGATGCAGCGCAGTCATGCGGCCTACATCAGGAACATGGACGGTGAGTGAGTCGGCTCAAGAGTGAGCAGCAGGGTCAGGTGTTCCTGTCAGGTGATGATGATCTGCTCCTCTTCCTGTAGATGCCAGTGGTTTGTTGAGGTCGGTCACCCAGTTTTCTCATCTCATCGCGGACACTATAGTGAACGGAGCAGGAGCCGCTCATTCAGCCCCGACCGACCAGGCAGACCGTGAGGATAATCGATAACATCAGCTCTTTGTTATTAACAGCACACATGCACATATGATCTACTGTACAACAGACAATATATTCAGGAATGGCTTTAAAATATGCTGCATTAACACAGTCTTTATTTAAAGATATGATCCCTGATAGTTTATACCAGATCATGCATGCTCATAAAGCGATTTATCTAATCATGCATGCTCTTAAAGCAGTTTATTGAATCATGCATGCTCTTAAAGGGGTTATTTGAATCATGCATGCTCTTAAAGTTTTTTTATTTAATCATGCATGCTCATAAAACATTTTGTCTAGTCATGCACGCTCATAAAATTGACTATTTAACCATGCATGGTTATAAAGGGGCTTATAAAATAGTTTATTGAATCATTCATGCTTATAAAACTGTTTATCGAATCTTGCATGCTCTTAAAGCGGCTAATTTGAATCATGCATGCCCATAAAACAGTTTATATGAATCATGCATGCTCCTAAAATGGTTAATATAGTCATGCATACTCATAAAATTGTTTATTGAATCATGCATGTGCATAAACAAATTGTCTAGTCATGCATGCTCAAACAGCAGTTTATTGAATGATGCATGCTCATAAAGCGGTTTATTGAATGATGCATGCTCATAAAGCGGTTTATTGAATGATGCATGCTCATAAAGTGGTTTATTGAATGATGCATGCTCATAAAGCGGTTTATTGAATCATGCATGCTCATAAAGTGGTTTATTGAATCATGCATGCTCATAAAGTGGTTTATTGAATCATGCATGCTCATAAAGTGGTTTATTGAATCATGCATGCTCATAAAGCGGTTTATTGAATCATGCATGCTCATAAAGTGGTTTATTGAATCATGCATGCTCATAAAGTGGTTTATTGAATCATGCATGCCCATAAAACAGTTTATATGAATCATGCATGCTCCTAAAATGGTTAATATAGTCATGCATACTCATAAAATTGTTTATTGAATCATGCATGTGCATAAACAAATTGTCTAGTCATGCATGCTCAAACAGCAGTTTATTGAATGATGCATGCTCATAAAGCGGTTTATTGAATGATGCATGCTCATAAAGCGGTTTATTGAATGATGCATGCTCATAAAGTGGTTTATTGAATGATGCATGCTCATAAAGTGGTTTATTGAATCATGCATGCTCATAAAGTGGTTTATTGAATGATGCATGCTCATAAAGTGGTTTATTGAATGATGCATGCTCATAAAGCGGTTTATTGAATGATGCATGCTCATAAAGTGGTTTATTGAATCATGCATGCTCATAAAGTGGTTTATTGAATCATGCATGCTCATAAAGCGGTTTATTGAATCATGCATGCTCATAAAGTGGTTTATTGAATCATGCATGCTCATAAAGCGGTTTATTGAATCATGCATGCTCATAAAGTGGTTTATTGAATCATGCATGCTCATAAAGTGGTTTATTGAATGATGCATGCTCATAAAGTGGTTTATTGAATCATGCATGCTCATAAAGTGGTTTATTGAATCATGCATGCTCATAAAGCGGTTTATTGAATGATGCATGCTCATAAAGCGGTTTATTGAATCATGCATGCTCATAAAGCGGTTTATTGAATCATGCATGCTCATAAAGTGGTTTATTGAATCATGCATGCTCATAAAGCGGTTTATTGAATCATGCATGCTCATAAAGCGGTTTATTGAATCATGCATGCTCATAAAGTGGTTTATTGAATCATACATGCTCATAAAGCGGTTTATTGAATCATACATGCTCATAAAGCGGTTTATTGAATCATGCATGCTCATAAAGTGGTTTATTAGAATATTGCATGCTCAAACAGCAGTTTATTGAATCATGCATGCTCCTACAGCAGTTTACTGAATCATGCATACTCATAAAACAGTTCATTTGAATCATGCATGCTCTTAAAGCAGCTTCTTAAATGAGAAAGCGGTGTGATGCAGCTCAAGTGTGTTTCTCTCCAGGTTTGACGGATAACTGCCGTGACTGCGCCACTCACTGTCTGCAGTACCTGAAGGAGCTGAAGCTGAAGGCCACGCTGCCCAGAGCAGACCCCACCGCTGTCAGATGCGTCCTGCAGCGCATCCTGCACCAGGGACAGGTGTGTGGAGCAGGCTCTCTGCGGCGTCTCCGTCTGCTTCACTGCATGATTGTCTTAACTCTGCTTCAGTTTAAATTGATCCTCATCTATACTGAGGATTCACACTGCATTCCTGAAAACATCTGCATCCACTACACCACTACAGATGCCTGAGTAGTGTGGGTGCAAGGAGGAACCATAACAGAACATAGGCATTTCTAAAGTTACACTTACTAGTGGAAACACAGCCTGTGTGTGTGTGTGAGAGAGAGAGAAAGAGTGTGACTGTGTATATGTGTCTGGGTCTGTGTGTGTGTCTCTGTGTAAATGTTTGTAATTCTGTGTGTGTGTATGTGGACAGGTGTGTGATCTCGGTGTGTTCTCTGTGCAGGATCTTCGTCCGAGAGCAGCAGACGTGCGTCAGGAGGAGCTGGCTGATATGGTGGATAAGGAGATGTCTGCCACCTCCTCTGCTATTGAAGACGCGGTGCTGAGAATGGAGGTGAGTCTCGCTGCGCTCATCATCTGCACTCAGTCAACACTCATTCACTGGCAACTCATGGCTTTTCTTCTGTAATGCAGGAAATACTGAACCAGACGAGAAGAGAAACGACTGGAGTCAAGCTGGAGGTCAACCAGAGGTCAGTTTGGGGAATCAGTTAGTAATCCAACATGAACAAATATTATAGAACAACAACAAATCAGAAAGAGTTGAGAAAACAGAAATAAATAAAGAAAGAAGTGATTTCTGAGTTTACTTTGACTTGTGTTTCATTGCAGAGAACAGAACAAACATTATTAATGTGTTCCTCATGATTATTTCTTAATAAACACGTATTACAGTTTTAGTTCTTCCAACACATTTCAAAAAAGGTTGGAGTAGTAAAGCATTTACCACTGTGTTGCCATTGCTGTTCCTTTTCACAATACTTAAAAGAGGTTTAGGGACTGAAGACACCAAGTGATGGAGTGTTTCAGGTGTAATTTTGTGCCATTCTTCCTACAAACAAGTCTTAACAACTTAACAACAATACGGGGACTTCATTGTTGCATTTTGCGCATCAAAATGCGCCACACATTCTCTACTGGAGACAGATCAGGACTGCAGGCAGGCCAGTCCAGTACCTGTATCCTCTTCCTCCACAGCAGGACTCTGTAATAGCCGCTTTCACACATGCAGACCTTTTCAGAAAATTACTGTTAATTCTACAGAAGGTGATCATGTGTGAACAGGCCCTTTATGAAAATACCGGTAAATTTGTTCTGGGAATCTTCCGGAAAGAGAAGTTGTAACATTACCGGTAATTTGCCGGAGGCTGCGCTGTGTGAACGCTGAAGGAAAAAATAGCCGGAAAGAGCACGTTCACGATTAGAACACGCTGATGTGAGACGTCTACTCCAGCCAATCAGAACCCTCACGCATTTACATCCGCACTGTTTTTTTTTTAGGGGTTTTCACCTTTATTGATAGGACAGAGGAGATATAGAGACAGGAAAGTGTGGGGAGCAGAGATAGGGAAAGGATCAGCAAATGACCTCGAGACGAGAATCGAACTCGGGTCGCTGCGATCACCTCAGTGCTATGTGTCGACGCACTAACCACTAGGCTATTGGCGCCGACTACATCCGCACTGTTTATGAAAATAAAAGCCTTCAAGTATGTTTCCAGACACATTCAGCTGCTAGATGTTAGTCAGATCACATTTCTATGTTTATTCTTAAATAATACAATTTTTTAAAATATAATGCTTATGACAAACCGCTGTTTACCGTCAAGCTCTGCTTCAGTTGCGTGTGCACGTGAAGTGCAGGAGTGCTCCGGTGAGCGCCAGCACACACACATATAATGCACATCTCTGTGTTCTGCAATGTTTTCATCGAAGTTGTTCACAATACTGATTCATCCACAGAGTTTGTAATGTAGTCAAGTGTGTAAACATTTAGCTGTGGTTCACGCTTCTGCCTTTGGATGTCTCTGGGACAAAAGCAGCTGCATGAATGCTAAAGCTTTAAATAAAAGTGAATCCATCAACAAACGCTCGACCCCTTCTATGTTTACTAATACAAGCGCAGCCGTTTGGAGCTCATCTCTAGTTAATGATGTCAGAATGTGACAGTATTTGGGAATGGATGTGTGAATGGTGTTTTCTAAAAAAAAAAATCCGGGACGTCCTCGCCTGTGTGAACAGAGCTTTTCTAAATTAACCAGTGAAGTCGTTCTGGTAATTCTCCAGATCTTTGGTTCGGAGCTCACGGCGTCCATTTCTCCCAAAAAACACCTGAAACACTGCTTCATCTGAGCACGGTACATGGTCCAACCTAGATGCCTCCGAGCCCAGAGGAGTTGATGGCGCTTCTGGACACTGTTAACATAGGGCTTCCTCTTGGCACAGTGCAGTGTTGACTGGCGTTTGTGGATGTCGCTCTGTATTGTGGTGCTTGTCACAGGTTTAGCGCAGTAGTGCTGAGCCCATGTGCTGATCTGCTTATAGATGAATGAGGATTCATGATGCAGCGCCCCCTGAGGGGTCGGAGGTCACGGTTGTTCAGCTTAGGCTTGCTCTCTTGTCCTTTACGCACTGAAACTCCTCCAGATTCCTTCAGTCTGTAATGATGTTCTGCACTGCTGAAGCTGAAATATCCACATGTCTTCCTCTCTTTCTCTGAGGAGCATTGTGTTTATACATTTTACTAATTTTCTCTCTGATTTGTTGTCAAACTTGGAGATCCTCGGCC